GGGCCAGGGGGGGAGTGGAGGTGGCGATGGAACGGGGCAGCGGGTTTGGGGAGAAATGGCGCGAGAGGGGGTTGTATGGTGGTGACGCCAGGGCAGGGGGCAGCACAGTGTTTGATCAGGCGTCACAAGCAAGGGGTGCGGGTTGGGGACAGTGATGCCAGGCGGGGCGGAGCGGTTTTCGAGGGGGCAAGCCTCGACGCGACGCAGTTGGAGCTGTGTGTGGCGGGGGAAGATGTGGAGCCTGTTCGGGGCGCCAGGCGTCCCTGCGCTGGCAACAAGCGGCGCGCCAGCCCACGCCGGCGGCGGCGAGTGCTGTGAAGACCCGCAAGACCTCTGCCAACGGCCGGGCCGGCGCAGCCGCAGCCGCCGCAAGGCCGCGGTCGCGTGCACCAGCAGGCATGTTCAGCGGGCGCGGCAGCCCCACCACCAAACCAGGGACGCGAGACCCCGCCGGAGGACCCGAGAGGGCGCGGCTGGCTTTTGAACACTGACAGTGATGTGCACGCTCGCCCGGCCCTCCAATCCCTTGGAACCGCAGCGGGCCCCGTGAGGACGCGACCCGCATCGGCTCCGCGGGCGTGGTGCGCAGGCAGGCGGTGGACATCTCCCCCCTGCGGCGCGTCAACTCGGTGCGCGCGCAGCGCGGCTTCTGGGCAGCGTCGCGGGCAGGGAGGCTGGCTCGCGGGGAGGCTGGTGCGCGAACCACGGCCGTGCACGCGGCGGCAGCGAGGCGGGGGCGGCGAGCGGGGCGCAGCCGTCGCGGCGGCCGCCCTGTGCCGAACGCTGGCTGCCTGTCCTCCCGGGCGCTGCGTAGGGCCCCGGCCTGGCCCTCAGCCTTCGCTGCCCTTGTTGTCGCGCCCCGCCTGGATGTGATCTGAAACTATCACATCTGGAATCATCACATCTCCGCAGGCGATCTGGCTGCTGACCACGGGCGCGCGTGAGGCGGCGTTCCGCAACGTGAAGACCATCGCCGAGTGCCTGGCCGACGAGCTGATCAACGCGGCCAAGGGCTCCAGCAACTCGTACGCCATCAAGAAGAAGGACGAGCTGGAGAGGTGCGGGGGGGGGCGGTGGGATGCTGTGTTCGTGTTTGTGTGTGTGTGTGTGTGTGTGTGTGTGCGTGAGAGAGAGAGAGAGAGTGTGTGTGTGTCGAGGGGGAGCAGGGTGGTTGGGTCTTGTGTGTGTAGAGGGCGTACAGTGTGTGTGTGTGTGATGGGGGTTGACAGGTGTGTTGGGCAGATTAAGGTGTGTGAGTGTTGTGTATGAGGCGACACGGAAGGGGTCGGGCTGTGTTGTCTTGGGGGGGGGGGGAGAAAGTTGCGGTCATTCCATTTCCAGAGCACGCAAGCTTCAGGTTACCGGTCGGGGTTGGGCACGTAGCACGGGTCTAGTGACCTCCTGGGGCAGCGGCGAGCCCGGTGCTGAGGGCTGCAGCTCAGGGCGCAAGCGGCGTAGGGCGGCGTCTACCGAAGACCCTCGGAGGTGGCGCTTGCGGGCAGGCCCCCCACCCCTCATTTTGCCACGCGCCGCACCCTCTGTTGACACGAGCTCGCCGCCGCGACTTCCGCCTCCCAATTCCAGGGTGGCCAAGGCCAACCGCTAAACGTGCTGGGCGCGGGCGGCCTGCGGCTTTGCGATTCTCGGTAACACGCTGCAGGCGGGCGCGGCGCGGCGCGCTTCTTTATTCCGCCCTTTTCCGATTGACCAGGGACTGTTGCAAAGGTGCAAGCCGTGTAATCGATTTGACCGCATTGACTGCGGGGAAGCCAGCCAGCTGGCGGCGCTCGACAACGCCAGGTGTGGTGTCTTTGAAGCAGGGTAGCAGGGCAGTCGCTGCATGCACAGCTAGGACGTGAGGTTGCAAGCCGTCCGTCCTGCAGCCGTCGTTCGGCCACAAAGGGCGCCGCCTCACTAGCAGCGAATCTGTGCATTTCTGGGGGTGCAAGGGGGGCAAAGGACTTGGATCAGGGCTGTAAGCTTTGCAGGGGAAGATTGGGCGACCCCTAGCCCAGATGAGTCATTGCTTCGCCCCGCCTGCCCTCCCTTGGCGGTCGCATGTCTCGGCCCAATTTTGACAGTGCCTGCAGGTGTCGCATTACATGACATTACATCACGCTTTTCCAGCTGCGTGGGAAGAAACCCTGGCTCCCCTAAGGGGTAACGCCCCTAACCATAAAGGCCAGAGGAGACAGCGGGTACGGCCAAACAAAGTAGGAGTGGCAGACGAGCAGATGCATGCAAAGCTGACAAGCTGAGAACAGATGGATGCCAGGACCCTGGCGCCAAGGGCGTCACTCAACCGTCACAAAGTCTGTGGCTTGCTTGTGACAGATGGCTCCTCGGGTCGGCAGCAAGGACGATGACAGCAGCGCAATGAAACTCCTGCCAAGGCACTTCACATGTGGTGCTGCAGTCCATGCAGCACCACGCACCGGGCAAGCACAGACTGGGCGGTTGCTTGTTAGAATTATGTTGCAGCGGAGTGATGCGGGGGGTGAGCTCGAGCGCTGCATGAGCTGGTGCTGCCGCGCCGAGCGTCGCGGACTGTGGCACATTGTCCACACTCCGCACCTACACCGCATAACATACAGCCCGTGTGCGTGGCAGCCGGAGCTCTAGCACGAAGCTCTTTGTAGCAGGGAAGAATGAATTGGTTTCAGATGTGCTCCGGATGTGCAAGATGGTGAATTACCAGCTCAGAAGAAGAGCGAGCAAAGGGCAGGCTGCTGGGCAGCTGCTGTTTGAATCGCGATTTTGCTTGCAGGCCAGCAGTGGCATGCCTTGTACCTATGACGGCTGGATGTACAAAAGCGCCGCACGAACCAGTGCCACCCCGCGCCCCGAGGCCCTGCGGACTGCGGCAAGCTGCCCGCAGTCCGAACCTGCACCTGCACAGCATAAAGGTACTGCCTGTGCGCGTTGCAGGCGGAGCTCTAGCATGAAGCTCGTTGTATCAGGGTAAAATGGCGCCCGTCAGGGGGGGCGTGGGCGTGGGAACGACCGGCGGAGCTGCCCAGTGAGGAGCTGACGGCGGCTGCACTTCGGCTGGGGTGAGGAAGCTGGAAAATCAGGTGGACGCCCACCGCCAGGGTACTTCGCGTACCACACGATCATTATACAGTCATAAAGTGTTATTCAAACAAGTCCTTTGCCAACGCGTCCTAAGCAGTCCAGCTCGACATTGAACCTGACGGTGCCCACCCCGACCCCAGAGACCCCTGCCCCGGTCCCAAGCCTCCATAGACTTGATACATAAACTCTCTCAGCGTGATCGGACATCCAACTACACCGGTGAGGGCCCCGTTCAGCCTCCACGAGGCCAAACCGCTCTTGGTGCCCCGCCTCTTTGTCAGCCTAGTGCTATTTGCGCTCTGTCTCCGAGCAATGGAACACACACGAGAACGCTGCTTCGCGCGCGGCCAAGCCTGACGCCGCCGCGCTCGTCGCACCTCCGCTGCTCCGCAGGTGCGTCGCACACAGTCGCTGCTAGTGCTTGCGCTACGCCAGCTCAGCAACAACCATGGTGTAGATCAAGCCGCTGCTGGTGAGTGTCACGCACGCACAGGAAGCGCAAGGGAGCTCCCCTACGCTTTGCACATGTACAGATGCTGGCGCTGCCGTCGCTGCCCGCCTACCCAAGTCTATGCCGTCGCACACCTGTCGACGAATTGCCCTCACCCAACCGCAGGCCCTGCTGCACCTGGCCGCTCTGGCCAACGCCATCACGCGCATCACAAAGAAAACCACCAAGATCCCTACCCAGGCTGTCACAACTGACACGCCCACTGCGGCCGCCGCTCCCCCGGCGCCATTGCCCTGCGCCCCCAAGGGCGCATCAACCGACGCCTCCACCCCCGACCACGTCCCGCACGCCGCCGCCGCTGACGCACCCACGGCCGCCAAGGCCAGCTGGTTTGTGCGCGCGGTCTCCGGCCTCAAGGACAAGTGGAGCGCCGTGATAGCCGCCGCCGCCACCAAGACCCCTGCTGCTGCCGAGAAGCACGCGCCCACGCCTCGCACGGCCAGCGCCACCTCTAGCACTTCCACCACCAGAAAGAGCAACACCGCCCAGGCCGCTGCTGCCACCCCTGGTGACGGCGCCTCGGCCCCCAAGGCCTCGGAGAAGGCCAACTGGTTTGCGCGCGCCTTTGCCACCGCCGAGGCCAAGTGCGGCGCCGCGTGCGACTCTGTCGCAGCCTCATGGCGCGCCTCCGCCGCCAAGGCCACAGCCGCGCTCACCCCCAAGCGCAAGGTCTTAATCAAGAAGAGTCGCAGCAGCAAGGCTGACACCAAGACCTCTTCCCTGCCCACGAGTCCCGCGGCCCTTGCTCCTGTGGCCGGCCCCATCGACAACGCCAGCCCCACCTCTGCCGCCGCTGACGACGCCGCCGTGCTTGTGAGCGTCGTCGCCCCCGCCGCGCCCGAGCCCACAGTGGCAGCCCTCAAGCCCGGCTCGAAGGCCGGCGCAGCCGCCACTCCCAGGTGGGGTAAGTACGTTGGGGACAGGTTTAGGGCTGCGCTGCCGCGCACCCGCAGCGGCAGGCGCCCCACCACCCCTGCGGCCCCCATCAAGGCGCGCTCCGGCGGCACCCCGGCCAAGCCCTGCGACGCCGAGCCCGCCACCGCCGCCGCTGTCGCCGCCCCCAAGGGGCGCGTCGGCGCCGCTTTGACCGCCAAGCTTGCGCGCCTCTCGTCGCGCCGCAGCCGCGACCGCCCCGATCAGGTGGCGGCAGCAGCGGTGGGGGGCGAGGCGGCGGTGGCCTGCTAGCCTGCTAGCTAGTCAGCCTGCGCGCAGGCAATGTCCCTGCGGCGCAAAAGCGAGTGACCCCCATGCCTGTTATCTCATCCTCGCGTCACCTTGAACATTCTGGGTGCATTCCTTATCACATTGCCTTGACCTCCTCTTGCCCCGCCTTGCCTTGCCTTCCCTGCCCTCACCTTGCCTTGCCTTGCCTTGCCTTGCCTTGCCTTGCCTTGCCTTGCCTTGCCTTGCCTTGCCTTGCCTTGCCTTGCCTTGCCTTGCTTGCCTTGCCTTGCCTTGCCTTGCCTT